AACTGTCTTCCAAGAATATTTCAGACGTTCTCAGTTGCATCATGGGAATGGTCCAATCAAATAAAACATTTAAAAGCGGTTACATTTTGCAAGTTTTCTAAGATGTTTTTACACCGTAAAGATTTCTAGTATTATCGTAGACACTAATCAAAGCGGATACATTATTTTTGTACATCTCTGCAGTTGTAATTGTTGCATCAGTGTTTTTGCTAATAAACAGAGTGATTTTGGTATGAAACCAAACTTGTAATTGATTTGTTTCATGTTGTCAAGCTTCGTTTTAAGCTCGAAACGATGGGCGAATATAAATTAGAGTTCTGAGTAAAATCAGAACTGTTTCCGTCGAGCATAAAATGCAAATGAACGTCACTTCATGAAAGTAGATGTTTTAGAAGCAAGTATTTCCCCATGTAATAAGCACACTGTGATTTCTTATGTACATAATGTACATAGCCAAACAGTACATGCATCTGTAAAACTTAAACGTACGGACTTAGTTTCTGTGTCATTAGAATAAGAATGACGTAACGCTTGTGTCAAATGGCATATTTTCAATGGTTTTTCCAACGATTCTAAGTTAAAATTTAAAGTTGGAACTTCAAAAGATGAACGCAAGATTGCGTTGCAAGAAAATGGATTCTGTTTTTCCTTTTTTCTCTCTCGTTCTTTCCGGCAAGTACTAATAAACATAGTACTACTAAACACGTGCATTTTAGCATTTCTTATTTATTTTTTAGCATTTCCAAAGACTGACTGTTATAGTTCGTGAATCAACTTATAGTACGTAAAGTTCTAAGATGCAGTATTTATCACTTTCTCTTTTCTTTTTCGCTTATTTTTTTTTGCCATGTACTTCTTTCATGACAGTTTGAGGTTTCCAGAACAAGTTTTTCTTGTAATGTTGATGGCAGAAATGTTGCTTCGCAACAATTTGAATTCTTGTGCATTTTCAAGAGAAATATGCACTTTTTTCCAACTGAAAATGCAGCCACATGACTTTGAATTTTGCATTCTACGGTATTTAGAGTTTTTATTTAAAACTCGCACAAAAAGAGAATATTTGGGTTTTTGTTTTTCCAAACTCTTTCATTTTGTAAATTGTACTACTCAAAACAATGCAACGCACTCTGGCAATTTCTGTAGTTGATTGGCTGGTTCAACTTCGTGAAGTTTTTTGGTAAAACAATTCCCATGAACATGGGTTTTGCCTTTTGTTGCACTGTTCTGAGTAGTACGTTAAATTTGTCTCGGCGTGCCCTTCTGAAGAACCATACTGCTCAGTGACTCGGTGGACGATCTGCCTGTCAGCATCCAGAGAAACTGTGACCATCCAATGCTGCACGGGTCAGCCTGTCCCGTACTCCATGCTAAGTTTAATTGAAGTTTTCATTAATTCATGCACTTTACAATGATACATCCTCATGTCTTTTTGTTGCTCTGTTAAACCCAAATGATTCTCATGGCATAATTGGAATAGGCTCGTCTGCATAAGGCAGATAATACACATTGCTCACATGCAAACCTAGGCAGGCCCTGGGAAACGAACAGCTAACTGTACACATTTGCATGTACATGTACATGTACATGTACATTTACATGTACATTTGCATGTACATGTACATGTACATTTGCATGTACATGTACATGTACATTTTCATGTACATTTTCATGTACATTTTACATGTACATGTACATTTTCATGTACATTTTCATGTACATTTACATGTACATTTACATGTACATGTACATTTGCATGTACATGTACATTTACATGTACATTGTACAATGTACTTTAACAACATCATGAGTTATCGTATCCGGTATCTTAACACCAACAGGTACTAAACATTCCCTTAGACTTATAATGACAAGAGTTTCCTTCTGGAAAAAGGCTGCTTTCTTCACATCAAATTTTTTGTTTACATGTACATGCGGTTTGCTAAACAACACAGCAATTCTTTGAATTAATATTATGGAGTTAAACGTCATCATTGGTATAAAAACCACAAGTTTCTCCACACGTTAATGCAATTTTTAAAGCTGACTTCTTGAACGTTGACTTGTGATCGTGCAGTTGAAAATTGTTTACGATTGAAATCTTAACAAAATTGTTTTGATTTATCAATGAGGCATACAAGAGTGCTCTTTTTCAAGGATCTACATGTACATTTGTTTACAGGCTGAGTGCTTATTTTTGCAGCTAATCTGTTGACATGAGCAGCAGTGTCATGTCTTTTGCAGTGGACTTTTTCACTTTTAACAATAACAGAATCAAATGTTGATTTTCAAGCTGAAAAAAAATATTGAACTAGCATCCATGGAACGGAAAACGTTCCACAATGTACAACATTTTGTACAGCAAAAAATTTGTAGGCAATATGGTGATTTTGAATGTCGCAAACGTTCTTCTACAAAGGCATTATTTGTGTAATAATTGCCTTTCTCTTTGTCATTTTGAATATTCCCAGGGCCTGCTTAAGTGATCTTGAATTCATATCATTAAAAAAATACGAACAAAAATACTTGATCTTGGACCTCAACAACTAAGATTCAATACAAATAGCCTGCCTGATCTAGCCTGTCATCTTTACTTTATCACAAAAGTAAAGAAAGGGATAATGACACATGTTCGTACATGTACCTAACATAACTCTCTAGTGTATTATCCCTTAACTTCAACCACACTTTTTTTTCTTCTAAATCAGTTAAAATCGCTCAAATTAACAGACACGCAACTGGAAATTTAGAAAAAAAACAAGGAAACTCCAAACCACAAGACTTTGATATTACTTTTCAATTTGTAATGGCATTAATGAGTAGTAAAAAAACGAGGACATCAGTGGATCTGAGGAAAAGTTGCATGCCTGAATTAAGATGAAGTATGTTTTGTTTCCAATTTTTGTTATGTCTGACATGTCTAAGACACACATGTAATAGGATGCGCCATACTGCACAGAACACTTTATGTTCAGCGAGTTCCTTTGGAATGTTCAACCCACATGTCCGTTCAATTAGGCTATTCAGGTGGTTCCTGTACAGACTGATGGGGCTTGGGATGGGCCTAATACTCTGTATGAATGTAAAATTCCTATTCTGGAATGGGCTAACACTGCCACACTACATGTGTACATTAATGGTATGAACATGTACACATGTACATGTACATAACAATTACTGTGAATTTCTAAACACCTACAAAATGTATAGCCTTAAATACAATCAGTTGAAGAAAAAAAAAATGAGAGACCATCCACCACAGATGCAGTCACCATTTTGTGACAGGAAAAATGAGATATTTTCTGTTCTAAAGACCAACTCCTCCAACGGTTCATAAATATGTAGAAAAATGCACTGAACGTGTGCTTTATTGTAAGACCAACATGTGTACATGCATTGAACTGGAAGTTCAGCTTTTTTTCCCTCAGAAATAGCAATGTCACAATTTGCTAAGATTTTTCAAGGCCTTTCCGCAGACGTGCCATTAACTTATTGACATCCAGATAGGAATTGTTAATTTTCATCGCATACTACTGGAATAATAATGTACTTTCTTCAGGAATTGTCTCAATTTCCATCGCTTTGTTTTTGGACTTGACTTTTGTACATTCAGAAAAACAAGTCCAGCTCGAAAAATTCATGACATGCCACCAAAAACTGTCATGATTTCAAGAAAATTTCTCTAAACCGTTTGAGATTTGTCACAGCACTCAGTTTTCAGAAAAATTTCAGCTTCAAAGATTTGGCTATATTTTTAATTGCAACTTGTCTGTGGTGGATGGTCACATATGCATGGAGCGTGACAGTCTTCAATCCAGGGCAATACCAAGCCAAATAAATTGACAAATCGACCTTAACATTTGCATTGAGTTCCTTTTAAATCCCTATCTTTAGTCTTAAAAATGCATCTTCAGAACCTGAAGTTTAGGGGGTTTTTAGTTCAGATTTTTGCAATGATGAAAAAAATGCACATTTTCGCATTTGTGCAAGTACTCGTCGCCTCTGTTTTAAAATTTCAGCACAAGAATTGTTCTTCTTTTCCTTTGGAGGCACTGGAAGTTTTAGAACGTTAAACTGAAGGAGAATTGTTGGCTGATTTCGTAGCTGCATGTGAGTGTCATTAAGAAAGTCAAATTCAGTTAGCCTGTTTGGCCAATAGCCACAGCTTGCCAAAAAATGAATGCCAAGTTGTTTCCACTGTATCGAGTGAAGAAATAAATGCCAGAGAGTGGTTGTATCTGAGCATCATAGGGAGTTTTTGCTCCCTGTTTTCAATCATTACGTGTGACTCACGATACAGGAAGGATTGTAGGCAGGATTTTGGAGCACTGTCCATGTACAATGTTTGTACCTCCTAGTGCCTGCTTTATTGGTTTTTCTCACAAATGTTGACCGAGTGGGCTGTGTCTCTGTCAGCCTCGGGAACCAAGCCAAGGAGAGATTGCAAGATCCAAGTTATGCACACTGTACATCTTTCTGTCTTGTTCTCTTTTTGCAAATGTACAACGTGAGAACTTCTTTAGCGAAGCTTTTCGCACAGGAGTGCTTTACATGTGTGAGCACATGTTTTTGATAAAGTTTATGAGTTTGAGGCCGTGAAAAGCCAGAACAATGGCTTCAACACGAGGGGCTATTTTAACGAGCAACATGCATTATTTTTAACCAGCAACTGATTTCAATTATCAATGCAGTTATCCAGGTTTTCCTTCAGACTGAGTGTTCTTTCACTCAATCTTTGGTCGTTGTCTGGGAACTAAGGCTTGGTATTGCCAGTGGTGTAGCCAGGGATTTCAAAAGTCAGTGGTAAAAAGGGCTAAGGAAGGGGCATTCGGCATAAATGACAAAATACGCGAACAAACATTTCACAGAAGCTAAGATCTTGTGCTGTTTCAACACTTTCTCTGCCCTCTGATTTTACAATGAGTCGATTTTCATTTATGCAAATCAGGTACGACATACTTTCTCTTGGTCATTGTCTTCGACATGACAAAGTACGGAGATAGTCAAGATATTTGCAATCAATGAATGATGCAAAAATCACTCTTTTTGAGTGACGATTTTCTGCTGAAAACTGGCAAATCAGCATTTACGTGTAACTACGATCAGAACATCATGCTCTGCATTTGCTGCTTTTTCTTTTTTGAAAGCCTTGTTTTCCGTCAACATAACTGTTAATAGCCATGCGGTCAAATGGCTTTGTGGGAGAAAAGCTCAGAGTGATATTCAAAAAGACGTTGGACTGATCACATCTTTTTAATTGAAAGAGAGAAAACTGTCTCAATATCTGTTTTTTGCCTGATTTTTCAGGTAATACAGTCATAATTGGCTGTCTGCATTCTTTACAAATAAAAATAAGGATTTGTCGTACTGCAGGCTCCCCCTTGGAGGTCTGCTTGCTGGGGGTCCCCCTTCCCTAGCCCCGCCCCTCCCCCTGGCTACACCACGGATTGAAGACTGTCTGCGTATTACCGCCGTCATTTATACAGCCCTAAGCCCTACTCCTAAGCCATGAGATATACACCTTGGGTTTATCAAGCAACACATGAGGATGTATCAACAATTGTGCATGAATTAATTCTACAAACTTCAATTAAACTTACCATGGAACGAGTTCTCGGGACTGGCCCCCCGTGCCTGATGCCACAGTTTCTGGGTAGGACACTGACAGGCAGACTGCGACCCAATCTCCCCCAGGCCATTACCAAGGATTTTGGGGCCACACTTTTTTTAAATTCTCCCAACAAATTTCAAAACCTTTCTCTTTCAGAGACCAATTTGAGACCATGAGGATTTTTCGAGCAGACAGTGTGCATTGAATACTGCTTTCTTTTTAGCCTGTTTGTCAAAAGTTGTGTGACAAATCGAATGTTTCTTTTCCTGTCTAAAACAGTTGTCTAAAAACGTTTTGGAAAGTTTGTCTCTTCTTACAGATTTCTCTAAAACAAAACAAGAATCTGATAGTTTTTATGCTACAGATGAGCATGAGTGAAAGACATCAATGCTAATTTCCATGTAAGTGGTTGCATCGCCCTGTGCAAATAGAGGTCTCTGGTTTTTTAACACAAAGAGCAATTTCTCTTTGAAGATTCAAAGTTCGGGAGCAATTTTCAAACAAGTGTGTGGCCCCTCATTTGTCCAAGTTGAATGGCCTGGGCACATTGTCCACCGAGTCGGTGAGTAGCATGGTTCTCCCTCTCTGCACGCCAGGACTTCCTCTCCCTAGGATGGGTTAGAGTTTGGTCTTTTGCCTTCTTCTAGTGCAAAAATGGCTGCTTTTTGGTGTTTTTTGGCTGGAAATTCTCAAACTGTTAAAAGATAAGTTGGCACTGTGCTTTCTCAGATAGAGAAGTTGCACTTTTCGAAATTAATTTCAGCAAGACAAAAATTGATTTCTTCCAACAGCAAAATTCTGATGGAGTATTGATTATGATCACCAGTTTAGAACTTTTCTTTAGACCCTTCATTTTTTTGAATGGTCAAGTTTAAATTGGGGGATTCCCCAATTATTTTGTTTGAATTCACAAATGTGACGACAGTCAGAATTGAGTATTTCTTGCAGTCAAGTGGAAATGCAATTTGACGGGAATGAATCCAGAAATAATTGTTTTATTTGAGTGACTTTTTCTTTTTAAATAGGAAAATTCGCGTAATTTTCCAAACTTTGAAGAAGTTACTGACAGTAATTTGCAAGTGAGCAGTACTCGGCTGCTTTCAATAATTGTTCTTTGTTTTACTTCATTTTGTACTTTTTTTTTCGTTTGAGATTTGAAAATACAATGTATCACAGTTGTGCTTAACATGGATAGGGGAATATACATGTAGTGACTACATGTATCTTGTGACTTTTTCATTCATTCTAATGTGGTTCACACTCTGGTGAAACATTCAGACTCGTTAGAGTGAAAGGCACTGAACGAGCCAATTTGAATGTCTTTTGAGCAACAAGCAGAGATGATGTACTAGTACACATGTACACTGTACCAACAAATGTTATCCGCATGAAATAGTGCTAGAGATAATTGACTAGAAATCCTACAATGAAAAACATCAGAGATAACTCACAAAAAGTAACCACTGATAAACGCTTCATTTTCATGGATCAAACACCACAATGGCAGAGGAACTCTTGAAATTTCAAGTGAAGACGTTTTAGAGTAGATGCCAGGGATCTCTACATTAGCAATCTCAGGAATGATGGTCAGATACACAACATCCACAGTAACACTCGGTAAGAAACAGCCAGAATGACATCTCCTTTGCGGAAAGAGTAAACCAATTGTCAGAGTTCAGAGGATCCTTACCATGTTGAAGCCAACTTGGAGCATCCAAGACGATTGGGAAGTTCGTACATGTACCCTTCAACAACAGATCACAAGCCGATGCAGATGATGGGCAACTCGCCGGACCTGCTGGCGCCCGTGGGCGGGGGCGCAGGGACACGCACCAGGGGGAACCCTGGGCGTGTGGGGTTTACACCCCGGTATCATTACATTTTTCCTGTTGGTTTAAAAACATTAAATTTGTTCCATTAGTCACTTGGCATGAAATATAATATTAAAATGCTGACATGAAATATAGTTTTAAAATGCTGGCTCAGTTCTAACAGCTTCTTGATTAAGAACAACTTTTGGAATAGAATATCAGTTGGATGGAGAAATTTTTCAACAGTGTTTTGGTTTCAAAAAAGGTATGAAAGTTTTGAAAGACACAGATAAGCGATCACAATGAAGCTTTTAGCGCAAATTTTGGAAAAGGATATCTCTGAAATTGAGAAATGTTCAACTCTGTTTTGGTTTCAAAAGGTATGACAGGTTTGAAAGATACATAGATAAAGTGCTTTACACACTGATAAGCAATGACAACGAAGCTTTTTTGCGCAACCTTTGGCAGCATTTGTACATTTAGATTTGAGGTTCTATAATAGAACCGGTAAATTCAGAAACCTTCAAAAAGTGTGTCTTGTCCATCTTCTGGAGAATACTGGATACCTTTGGATGCAAGAAGGATTGGTGGTTATTCTGGCTTTTCGATTTTGAGTATTTCAAGGGTTTGGTGTCTAAATTCTTTTAGAACTGAGCCAACAGAAAATACAAAATGCAAATGTACAATCAGCACTGGCACATAACCATAAGGACATCCGTAACTGTTTAAAGTTTTGTTTCAAAGTGAAGAAGTGCTACGTCTATCTTTTCACAGAAACCCCATAACAAATAAGGCTTAAGTATACATGTGTATTTTAAGTGCATCATAACAACTGCAACTGAATGTCGGTCATTATTTTAAATCAAATTCCAGGAGTTTTGTGAACATAAACTGCCATACAGCTTTTACTCATGGGAATCATGCTTCGGTGTTTTCAGAAAGGTTTGTTGATTCTTAAATCAAGAAATGTTGATAGATTGTGGAAAATTCAGGTTCTTGGTAAAAGCTGAGAATGATTGTTCAGAATTAAAAAGAGATTTTTACATTTTTGAAATTTGCACTACATATAGATTGTAATGTGCCAGTGCTAATCATACTTGATATAAAAAGGTTGGAGGCAGGATTGGTGAACCTAGTCAAAGATTTTGTTTTTGGCAAACCTTTCCAATATTGGTACATCTACACTTTTGTGCGCGAGCGGTTAAAGGATGGATATTAGAGAAAAAGTTTCTGCGCTGCGACACACATCGATACATTTTGGCTCTTTTAGCAAGACAATTGAGTTTTCTCAGGTTTTGGGAAACATCAGTGTATTTATGGAGTAATTTAAGATAAGTACGTTCTATGTTTAAATATGGAGAAAAAGATTGTTTCTGAAAGTTTCTCCATGTACATGTAGACCTCTGGTTCATGTCTATGTTCGGGAGGTATGTAAGAATGAGATATTCCCGGCTAGATTTTTTTTATATTCTATGAGACCTAAAGATTTTCTGAAATTGATTTTGATACTTGATTTTTGTCGTTACCAATCCTGCATCCAGTAATGGAACAAACAATGTTTTTCCAAAGCAATGTTCATTTTATACAATTAAGACAAGTTTAAACTCAACCAGCCCTCACAAAAGTCCGCTTTGGGTTTTTTTTTTGAGTTTGAAAATTTGAAAGTCTCCCATTATAGGACATTCAACATTTTTGACCACTAAAACTAGGATCTTTTTTTTTTTAACTCAATACTGCACGTGCTCATTTTCTAAAGACATATTTTCCTGAGGGAAAACATGTGTAATATCTTTTGTTTTTTCCAATCATTTTATAACAGATTTGTTTTGAACAGAAAAGATATGTATCTCAAAATCAGACATTTCAATATTTTTGAGAGTTTGAGTGAGGGCTGATTAAGTAATATTTGTGGGGCAATGATAACCCCATCTCAAACTAAAATATTAAATGAATAACAGGCCTGCCAATGCTGCAGTCTTATGGCTTTTGCAAATATTTTAGCACACATCTCAGTCGTTGATGTGAATATTTCTTAACAAGCACCAAATATCACACATTTCTGAATTTCAGAGGCGCACTTGAACATTAATGATTAACAAGAATGATGAACGAAACTTTGTTTACAGTACATGCGCATGTGCTTCATCACTTAGATGAACTGCGCTTTTAGAAATTTCAAGGAAAATGTCTAAAATATTTTACTGGCTGCAACCGAGTGAGACACCAGTCCTTTTTTGGGTGGACGCGTTGGCATTTGGCAGGCCTGCATTTTTGTCATGAACAAATTTAAATAGTTTCTGTTGGGAAATATCCCCATGGTGTAAAGAGTCTTTCTGGATCAGTTCAACATTTGCTCTGTGGTCGATGAGTTCAGAACGCGTAAAATTCTTTCAAGTTCTTAGACCACACTGGATTGAGTTCATTACGCTCAATATCCCAATTGTCTCAAAAGTCGTTCTGGATCAGTTCAACATTGTCTCAGTGGTTGATGAGTTAAAGAGGCTTAGAGTCTTTCAAGTCCTTGGATCACACTGGGTTCAGTTCATTAGGCTTGACAAAGTGGCCTCGATTGGCCTTGGTGAAATCAGGTGCACAAATTAGTGTCTCTCATAAGAGGTGTTGAAAATCTCTCTCATATCATAGATATATATGCTGAAATCATTCAGCGGATTAGTCTGTTGAATGTCACTCATGCGGCGTGGTTTTGTAGGGATGTCCAGTAACCTCTATCAGGTGCGATCATGGATTGGTGGATGGCTCAATACTCCACAGATGCAATCAGTGGACTAGTCTGTTGAATGTCACTCATGCGGCGTGGTTTTGTAGGAATGTCTGGTAGCCTCTATCAGGTGCGATCATGGATTGGTGGATGGCTCAATACTCCGCAGATGCAATCAGTGGACTACATGTAGTCTGTTGAATGTCACTCATGTAGCTTGGTTTGCAGGGATGTCCAGTAGCCACATACAGGTGTGACTTCTATCAGGTGCGATCATGGATTAGTGGATGACTCAATACTCCACAGATGCAATCAGTGGACTAGTCTGTTGAATGTCAACCATGCAGCTTGGTTTGCAGGGATGCCCAGTAGCTTGTAACAGGTGTGACCTCTGTCAGGCGCCATGATGAATTGGTGGATGGCAGATGCAATCAGTGGATCAATCAGTTGAGTGTCACCTGGCTTACTGTGATGTCTGGTCGGCTCATACTGGTGGGGCTGTGAGGGGATATCATGGATTGGTAGATGCAGCGGAGGTTGAAGGCTGTTTAGGACTCTCTTGTGACTTCTTACTGTCTCTGGATAATCAATGAAGGAGAAATACAAATCACATTACAAAATTGCTGATTTCACGAAACTTGTATGCAATAAGGGCTGTGCATCGGAACTAGGTGCCCGAGTACCCGACCGTTGATGCCAGGAACCGGTTCTAGATTATGTGATCGGGTACCCTTATTACCAACTTTACAACTTTAAACAATTTCTGAATGTCACTTGTGGGAATGTCAAAAATGAAAACCAGGACACATGGGAAAACTAAAAATAAATTTCATGTTTATGATGCTTGCAAAAGTTGCAGTTTACACCGTAAAGCCACAAGTTCACTGCACACACTTGTATCTTGCCGTATCGACACACATTATATTGTAAAAGATTTTCATTCTATCATTACCTGTATGACGTTGCCAGTTGCTTTACCATCCAGAGGTGGTCCAACTTGAAGCGAACTTGCAATAAAGGAGTTGAAGAAGTGCAATCTTTGCAGTCAATAGTGCAAAGAGCAATCCCAGAAGCACACGGAATGTAGAGCTGTGTCTGCATGAAAAAAGAAAACAGTTCAATGTTTGTTACAAGTATTTATAGATTTGTAAGGCCAAGTAAAAAAAAAAGAAGATTAGCGTCCTGCCTTTATGAAAAAATGGGAGAAGGACCTTTTTTTTTCTCCTCCATAAGGACCGCCCGACTGGGCTATTTTTCAAGATGGCTGCCAACTTTTTTTAAATGGCCGCCAATTGGACTCAGGAAATGACATTCATGTAGGCCTACCAGCTTTATACGAGCTAGATGCAACAGACAAAGAGGCCAAAATGATGTCGCTGTTTATGTTAGTATTCGTTTTGAAAAATGGGTCGGGCGGCCATTTTGGCACAAAAAAGAAAAAAAGAAAAACGGGCCTCATAGCTGGAGTTACCCAGCCCTGAATTTTATCATTGGGTTGTCATGTAGGGCTGGAGCTAATTTTTCACGTAACCGAGCAGCGTAGGCAGGTCCCAAAAAAAATTGCGAAAAATCGGGTGTTACGCGGAAGCGTAACACCTGATGACTGTTTCATGCACTAATATGAGGTTTACCACTCGCATCACAGCTTTGGTACTGGAACCGCAACGATAGTGCATGAAACAGTCATCGGGTGTTACGCTTCCGCGTGACGTCATGCGCCAACAGCCAGCGCAGCCGGCAAAAACGAGTAGTTGACAGCGCTCTGTGCCTGGTTATGGGTAATCGACCGCCATTCATTGTACACAATTTTTGTGTGCACAAACCAATTGCGGTCCTGGCCATGCCTGCAAGGTTGTCAGGTTAGCGGTTATTACGTGAAAAATTAGCTCCAGCCCTACATGACAACCTAGCTCTACTGAGTGGAGCGTTGAATTACGGGTACCCCTCCATACGACTGTTTTGTGTAATAATATGTGCTCCTTGGGTGTGTTCAAAGCCCATACTGTCGTACGTATACGGCGTGGCGCGGATCGGAGCACGTATTATTACACAAAACAGTCGTTGATAAAGCGCGACTTGTTTTTCTTCGCGATCGAGCAACGACGGTGACGTCACGTCAGACGCCCTCATTGACAAGCTAATTCAAGAACTGAGCCTCCATGCAAACACATTGAACTGTAAGTTTTCAGACTATTTTGCTGTTTTTTTCCAAAATGTTCGCTGTTTGGGAACAATATAAGGGGTCTCATGGAATGTCAAGAATGTATAGATCAATCCAGGATAACTGTCTCTCTCATTTGTAATCTCTTTACCGTTTTTTGGGGGTCTTTTTGTCCTCGCGTGGGTTTGTGACTATGCTACTGTGACGGTGCTACCAAAGTATGGTGAATCGGTGGAGCGTTGGTATGGAGGGGTACCCGTAATTCAACGCTCCACTCAGTAGAGCTAATGACAACCCAATGATAAAATTCAGGGCTGGGTAACTCCAGCTACGGGCCTCATTCCTTTTTTTTCCAAAAAGGCAGGACGATAAACATGTTTGTTTTTATTTTATTTGGCCTAACATGTCTATAATAAAGCAAAGTCACCTTTCATTCTCTTATTCCACAAGCTTATGAGTGGCTTTTCGTCCTTAAAAGCTCTAGTTGCTACTTTTCTGCTGCTGCTACTGCTACGCCCTCTACGTTCGTGCACGGAGCGATACGTGACTCGTCCGGAAACTGGGCATCTAAGTTCTAACGTTAGAATTTATTCAACGAATTCCAATTACGAAATACATTAGGACATCAATTACTTAAGAAGTTTGGTTGTATATGCTTACCTCAACTTTTCATCAGTATCATTGTCACTTTCATTTATACATATTGCAATTTAGCGATTGAAAACGGTGTCTAACTTCAAAAATTGAAATTACCGCTCCTCCATTTTGAGAAACTGTACACGAGTGCGCTTGCGCAAAATAAAATTGGTATCCATCCGAATTGATCGTGGAAACTTGTTGTGATTGTTGATTACCAGCTAAACAGTGTGGTGCTGCTTGTTAAAATGTCCCCCTGAAAAAGTGTCGTTTTAGGGAGGGCGCATATCTGGGGGTTTCAAAGTTGAGGAGGGGGCGGGGTGGAGCCTGATATAATCTCTCTTTCTGTTTTAGAAACTCCCGAAAGTGGAGACATATACATTTTCAGTACTAAATGCGTGGTTGATTTTTCAGAAACTTCTACAAAATGATGTAAAATTTATTACAACGCCGCCTGACTTTTTATGGATGCCAATGATGCAGATCTGCAAGGTTATTTGCAACTTTAAAACTGAATGGCGCATATGCCCACGAATCGTTTCCACGTTGATCCCTCTAATTTCTAAAAAATGTGAATTTGAAAGGAAATGTATTTGTTCAGCGGCGGATCCTGGAATTTTCGTGGGGGGCCGGGGGGGGGGGGGCGGGGCTCGTACCATACTTTCAATGGGGGCGCTGTTCAAATCCCACGATTAGGCATGAGATTTTTCAGAATTTTGTTTGAATTCAGACTTTTTGAGTCTGAGAGAAAGAGGCATTATCAGTATAGAGAGAAATGAATCTTTCAGACCATTCATCCAAATTTCAGACTTTTCTTTTTATATTGACAGTAAAAAATACCCCCTATAACCAAGCTGGCTAGTCTGTTCGTATTTTGTGCACAGTCGGACATTACCAGTAGAATATTTTTGGGTGTCCGAGCGGGGGGGGGGGGGGGGGGGGGTCGCATTATTTTTAAAGAATTTCTATGGAAAATACCAGAGCTGGGGGGGGGGGGTACCCCTTTGGATCCGCGCCTGTGCAATGTGCGGTGTTGTCCGAAGACTGAGATTTGGAGAAAGATTAATAAATAGGCCCAAGCATCCCTTGAAGGCCTTTTGAATTCAAGGAGCGGAGGGAACTTGATGAGAAAATAAAGGGTAATCAATTAGGTTCAAGTTTAATTCCGGGCTTCTGGTTGAGGAAATATCGAGGGGAGGGACCACCGAACGTGTCGCCCGCAACTGATGAGGGACTGAGTTTGCAAAAATCACCGTCGAGATGATTTTAACGCAGAATGATACAACTGAAGATTTTCCGGCGAACTTATAATAGCTTTGTGCACGACACACTCATGTAGGGGCTAAAAAAGAAGTCTTTTCTGCTCACTGAGTTTTCCCACTGAGTTTTCCTCTCTGCGAAATTCCATGACATAAATGTAATCTTAAAAGGAGCCGACCTATTTTTACGGTAGTAAATATGACATGCAATAACATAATTCGTGCGCTGTTTGTTGTCTGGTTTCAAGCTGTTCTTTTTGGTCGTCCAAACTCATTCGTCATCATGGTCATTTTTTTGTTCTATTTAAATTAGTTTGTCTTTCTTTAATAATCAAATTAGTCACTAAGAGTCACAATTTCTGTGAAAATGGCTGTTAAGATTACAAAAAGTAATTGAGATACAATGATACAATACTTTAAGAAATTATTTTAAGGGAGTATTACTAGGCGGCTGATGTAAAGCCTAGAAGTATGAACAGCTGTTGGCCATTGTTGCCATACATTTTTATACGTGCATTACGTGATTTATTTTATTAGGCCTACCTGCTGTAACTTTACTAGGCTTCGAAAATGAGACCATCGGGCTAATCTCTGAACGATTTTTGTGAACTTCAGCAATGGATATCTCTTTGATTTTAGTTCCGTTCATTGCTGTCATCCTTCTTTCGTCACAAGTTGTGGTTTACGGTGAGAAAAGTGCCGCGAAACGGACAACGGGAAATGGAAAAATGACCGAGGATGGTGTTGACGATAGCGGGCGTTCAAGCGACAGGGATGCGGGGCAGAGTGCGGGAGGCACGGCAGGCGCTGACGAGAGAGATGGAGGGGATGACGGAGGCAAAGACAGCAGCAGAGAATTAGAAATGTGTATCCTTTTCATCTTAAAGTTGATTAATGAATTGTAGTCGGAGGAGTGATGTTGTAATTGCTTTTAATTTTATTGTTGAGAGAGTGGGAGGGATTTCTTGGATCTGGGAGGAGTGCTCTGGCGAACCCAACCCCCCTTTGCTAAGGGGTGGAGGGGGGGGGGGGGGAGAGGGGGGGGGGAGGAGGGGGGAGGGGTTTGTGTGGCAAGAACACAGTGTTATGCTGGTGGGGGGGGGGGTTGACTAAGGGAGTGTTGTACCATACTTCTTTTACTCAAGGGGTACCCCTTTTTGCTTGCTTCATGAATTACTAATTCATAATTGTTGAGAAAAAAAGGGGATGAGTACACAACAACATCAATTACATTTTTTAAAGAATTAACACAATTTTAATACTTTTATTTTTAGGGGGGCCCATTGGGCCCCAAAAATTGTAGAAATTGATGGTTTTGTTTTTTTTTCCTCAATTTTCGAATTAAAAAAATTAGGGTATTGGGGACTGTCAGAATAGCGTAGGTAGGGAAATCCGGAAGCAGAACTATTTTTACACTGGGTTTTATACTGGGGGGGGGGGGGGGGGCAGATCCGGGGGGGGGGGGGAGGCAGATCCGGGGGGGGGGGGGGGGCATAGTGTAAAACGGACAGAGGTGGCCTGTGAAAAGTTTTAAACTTTAACAAAAAATGTTATTGCTGTTGGTGTGTTAACATAAAAGTGCACAAACTCCTTGACTGCTTCTTGAACAGTCCAGAAGTTATTCCTTCAGAAAAGAAGCCAGCAGCACAGTGCCATTCAAGACATCTTTGAGAAATACAACTACGAGCAACAGTTTAAGCTGATTGACTTGCTGTTGGACCGGATGCAAGAGGTGAGACAATGGGAGGGGGTGGAATAAGTTGAGGGGCAAAGGACACTAAAACAGTGGGAAGGGGGGGGGGGGGCCAAATGCCCCTCCCCCTCCTTCCACTGTTTATGCAATAGGGCACGGGAGGAGTAGAATGGGATATATAGACTTGTGTATCACCCAAACGTTGTTTAAAACCAAGTAATTATTTGTACAATGAGAGATACAAGGGCAAGAAGGCAACAAGTCAGATTTACATTGTAAGCAGATTTAAAAAAAATGTAATGCTAAATAAAAATTGATATAACGCTCTCCCTCATTTCAACAATCCTAAAGTGCTTTTGTTGTGATTCTTTTGGTTAATGTGGCTACATGAGTCATTCAAACGAAACAAAAGAGACTTGAAATTGTGATTCTTTTGTTAAATAATATATTTTTTTCCCCAAAAGATTTTAGCTGAATCAAGAAAAAAGCTGTCAGACTCTAGGTTTAAGCCAGGAATGCCATTTCCAGTAGATCAGGAAACAAAAGAAGGTAAGAAGTAGCAAAGATGAATATACAGGAGGGTGTGCGGGTTTTGGGGTAGGGTTCTTGTGTCTTTAGGCAAGCCACTTAACCTAACTTGCCCCTCTTGTTCGAGAGGTATAAATGCATGCAACAAAGAAGTTCACTGGTAATCCCTTGGTTTTGTTTATTAATATGTGTTTGTCTTTGAATTGAGTTATCATCTGGTAACAGTTGTGCACCCAAGGGGGGGGGGGGGGAGGTCTCAGGGGCTTGAGCCCCCCCCCACCCAAGAGGTTGTCCTTTTTTTTGGGGGGGGGGGGGGCAATTTTTTTTTATAGTCCCTCGATTTGACCTTGGTGATCTGTATGTGGCCTTTTTTCGAGTAGTATAATAGGGGCCTTCTACTGTATACGTATATATATTGCATATGCAATTTGTTCATCTTTAAACAAAAAAAAAAAAATGTAAGTTGCTGTGAATTGGTAACAAAGGTGACAAAATTCATTCAAGTCACAGACTATTGTTCCTCTCTTTGCAGGTCTTTCGCTGCTTCTAGAAAACCTGGCCTTTTTCGGTGACATCACTCTGCGACTGCCAGACATCACCCACAGCCTGTACAGCAAGAAGAAAGCACTGCGGGAAGTCGTCCGCTGGGCCGTCACGTACACAGAACAGACAGGGTTCTTTGACGACAATCACAGGAAACTGATGAACCTAGTGAGTTGACTGTAGTAGATCCTTCTGGATATGGCTATGAGCCCCGCCCACTTTTGGGTCGTGTCCCAATTACTTGGCTACGGCTTAAAAATTACACACGAGTCTATGAGAAGTGGCTGCAGCCGCTACCATAGACACAAGCGTAATTTCAAGCCGTGGGGAAGTAATTCGGACAAGGCCTGGGTTACACTGAGCCACTGGGGTCACCCGACCAAAAGTCGTGATCTAATTGGTCAGTACACACTGATTGATTGACAGGCACAAAGTATTTATTGAATTCAGCCTAGGAATCGCCTCACTGTATGCAAAGCATGTAGTCCTACGTGTCTTGTGAAATATTAAAAGGATAATTTCAGTTGCTTACTTTAAGTTAAGGGTCTTCAAGCACCAGTCAGATTTGAGACAAGTGTATACATCAACGGCGTAGCCAAGGGGGCCGCACTCCCCCACAAAAAAAATCGCCGCCCCCACTGGAAATTTGCTAGTCCGAACAGCTTTAATTGTGCCGCCCTGAAGAGCGCCATCTATTGTCCGATAGTGTCCGCTTTGAAGGGCGCCCCCATAGAAAGATGGTGCCCCCACCCATTTTAAAAAATTTTACAGAGGCTGGGTGACCAGTGAAAAACCTGTCTGCCTTTCAGCACGGAGGCTACAGAAAATGGGCACCCCCCCCCCCCACTGTACAAAACAGCCCCCACTCCCATTCATGAAAGAAAAAATGCAGCGTCTTTCTTTTTTTTAGTCATGGTGAAAATATAACCATATTTCTTTTGTCTTTGCAGATGTCACAGGAACTCCGACTGATCAAGAGAGATGCTGACTATGTTAATCCTTTCAAAAGAGAAGAGGTCAGTATGTGCCATTAAAAAACAAACTGGTTTCAACGTCAGGCAACTTGGGTAGATTCTCAGATGTTGTGTACCATACATTTACATTCCATCTAACTTGGATAACTAATTTGAGATTGTTTGTAGGTTGTAAACCTTCCCAACAATTTGTTTTCCCTCAGCAGTATTGTTAACAGGGCATATTTAGCTTAAGCAACGAGAATGTGCGATTTGTTTTACCATTAACTTACCCATGAATACAGCTTGTGGAGGAAAGGCACTTAACCCGTTCACGCCGGGATTATTTTGACAGTGACCGGACCCAGGCGCGGGATTGTTTTTCAGGAACCTCGATGCCAGACGGGTTCAGGCTGTCATCTGCGGGTAGCACACCCTGATATTTCTGGCCTCGCTCGTTGCATGTTTATCCGTCATCCATTCCGAATGTCGCAAAATATTTGCGGGTATACACGGCACCCGGCGCGAACTGGTTAAAACGCAACTGAGGCAAATGCAAATGTTTTAAGTGTGAGGAGGAGAAATTTTATTGTTTTGATCGTTTGTGAATTGTTTTCAGGTTGCTCCTGAACCACCACCGCCGAAAAAGAAGAAAGAAAAGAAGCCGAAAAAGAAGGGACCTAGAATATCCAGGAGCGAACTCTGAACCCTGCGAGAATTAATCGGGTCTTTCGTAAACTCAGATTTGAGAGCAAGTGTGTAAAAACATTTCCATTTTGAATAAAAAGGTGTGTGAATTCGAAACTCAAGTTGAAATTGAAACTCAAAAGGTATTAAGTCACTACTGTGAACACACTTTTTTTTTCCGACTCAAGATTTAGGATGTTCTGAAACCTGCAAATGAATAGATTTGATATTTTCTGACTTTCTTCATCATCGTTTGGACATGAAATAGTTTGTAAGAAAAGAAGTTACATAGCCAACAAAATGAAGCAGTAATGTTTGGTTTTCTCAAAAGGAAAGTCAATTCCAAACTGCCTTCAAGATTTTATGACTGCAACAAGGAAAATTTGATAGTGATAGATTGATAACATGCTCTGCTGACCTAGTAAAATATGGGTGTAGTGACCATCGATTCTATTTTTTGTTGGCTGACTTTTTTTAGAGTGTGCGATCTTAGCTTTCTTGTGGATATGGCAGGTATCCCCCAAAAATGCACCTGATATGATAATGTGTAATCTAAAAGTTTTTTCTTAGTACAGCGCAGGAATTTATAGAGGACGTACAACTCACGTTTTTTTTAGGAAACCAAGGAAAACATCTAATTGAGGCTAACTGCCAAAGACGTATGACATTTTATTAAGTTTTTTCTAGTTGCCGGTTAGTAACTTTTGAAATTTAACTGTTAAAGGACCAAAGAGCATGGATTGTTCAACTTTTGTATTGCAAGTGCTGCAAAAGAAAACCAAAGTCTTCCTGTGACTGAAATGTTTTCATTCTTCTGTTTAGATTATTACAATATTCACTTTTTAAAATAAAATCAAGCTTGAACACATCCATGTACAATGGGCTCCGTGCGCCAACAAAAGAGGGCGCGTTTTTACCATTTTTGAGCGCCCTTTGGACGGGACACACAGCGTGTGTGCATGTACTGTACCTGTTCGCGCACGAAGTACAGACAGGACTTTCTAAATGTGTCAAAGCTATTAGCCACAGCGTCTTCGTGTGAGCGTCAGGCGTGCGAATACCGGCGTTCGAATTTAACTTGCAATGGTCTCCCAGACTAATCCCCGCCCCCAATAACTTTGGATCATTCGAAATACGCAGTGGATGGATCGGGAACCAGTCTAGGTCTCCCCCAACTCTCCTTTTCTGGCCGTTGAAGGAGTACTTGTGCACGGAGCCCATAGCATAAGACAAGACAAAAAGACAACAAAAGTGCTTATTATTAAATTCTGTAAAAGAAGTTTATTGGTTATATTTGTGCTCTATATTGTTATGTAGCTGTTTAGAAAGTTATAGTTAGAAGTAGTTTTGCGTTCCAATGTTTCAAATGGTTTTTGTGATTGTAAAGTACATTGTACCTCTGTAGATATCAAACTCATAGTGTTCATGACTTGGACATCGAGTATGATGATCGTAAGTGCAGTCTTCAAAATTCCGGTGTCAACTCCGCGTAGAATTGTTTTGCTGAAATTTACTTTTTTCGCTGCAGCTGCAAGTTGTGAAGTACACAAAAAAGAATGCCATTAAAAGACTACCGTCTTTCTGAACTTGCTTATTGATACATTTTCATCTGAAAAAGGCATAGAGAATCTATTTTGACTTTTTTTCCTCTTTAACTCATAGATGCCATTCTTTTGTACACATTATGGCTTACAGAGTAATTGTTTATATATTGAAGAATTCTCTACAATACAAAGTTTTATACTCGAGCAGCTGAAGGTAATACATTTTCAAACGAGTTGAGAGGATTTAGCTTCGTTTTTTTAATACCTTAACAGTAACTAAACCACCCCAAATAAAAAAAATGTCTATGATATCAATATTTTCTTTCTTCTGTTCTTTACAGCCCTCCGAAGTACAGTAAGAATTTTTATGTGAATTTTGTTTCTTAAATAAATAAAAGTTCTTTGTACCACACAAAGTATTGTTTTCTGGGCTGAATTTTTCCTTGAATAAGCTTTAAACATCCTTTCACATCCAAATTCCAAGAAGTGACCACAATTTTGCGCATTTGCTCTTGAAACTCTTTTAAAAAAGCAGTGTTTCTTTCAAAAGCTTTCAAAAACAGGGGGGATGTAGTTTTCAGGAAACGGGGTTGGTATAGGGGGGGGGGGTTTGAGTCTAAGGCATGCTGAAGGCACGCCATGCTGGGGGGGGGGGGGGGGGGGGTCCGGGGAATGCCCCCTGGAAAACTTTGAAATCTACAATGTTTTCTCCTGCAATCTAAAGCAATTAGAGAATAAATTTAGGAACTTTAGCACGCCATTTATTTGGCCCCATTTTACTAGTATCATAACATTAGTCAGTGGCTAATCATAGGGGAGGGGGGGGGGGGAGGGGGAGGGAGGGGGGGGGGGGCTGCAACCCCCTCCCAACGCCCCTCTAGATCTGCTGCTACTAAATGTGCAGTGAAACGTGCAGCGTTTCTACGAAAGTCTTATGCCGTTCACATTTCTGAAGTTTTCAGATCAGGATCAGAATCTGTGGCAGTAAGTGAAAAATTGTTTTTAAAATATTTGTGATGGTAAGTCCACTGGTGTTTACACAGGCATGTCAAAAAAAAACCTGAAATAAGAATATTATAGTCATGAGAATTTGTTCTTCTGTTTTGCTTTGCTGGCGGTTTTATTGTCAAAACCATCAAATCTTTACAATTTACTAGTTAAATGAGTCCCAAATTTTACACCATTTGTACAAATGTTTGATAACGTTAAGCAACATTCATTATACATGCAAGGTGTACATTTGGCAAGTGAGAACAGTTACACGTCTGACTTGCTGGCCCTAAACTGTACTTGGCTCCATGTTTTTCCGCAGTACAGAGTCCCGAGAGGAATATATAAAAAAGGATTCCAATAATTCTACACAAGACTCAACATGTTCAAGAATCCATGTGCATGTACTTTACATTAAGTAAAACATAAAGTTTTGGCAAATTGTACAGAAAACATGGAATGATGGGGCACCTGATTTCAGTCACTGTAATTTTCAAGCAAATCTAAGGGAAACTGTTTATGATAAACCAGTGTTACCGTTTTATAGTCATTTTCTATGTTCCCATGTTTACTGAAATATGAGGTTACAGCCTGTTCTAGACGCCTTGCTTCTGCTGCACCAAACTTAATTGAAATGAGTGCAGCAATAGGTCATCTACAGCACGGCAGTTGCTCACGCCAAACTTAATAGTTGAACCTTAACGCATCTGGAGTAATGGGCCAAGTTAAAGCATTTCAATGAACATTCAGCGCGCTCAAGATATTCGTGCCAATTTCACTCCCCGTGACGCGGACGCGGGAGATGGTATTGCATATTCCTAAAATGTTTGCCCCAACTTCAAATTGAATTGAGTTCGGCACGGCAATGGCACGGCGCTTAGAACAGTGATGTGCCACTGCCATTTGGAATGACGATAGCCCACCAGCCCTGTCAAGCCAAAGGATGGTGCCATGCCGAACTCAATTTGCCCAGCCAAATGGTTCTAAACGCCATGCTACCAGTGTGCCAAATTCAAAACTCAAATTAATTAAGTTCGGCCAGCAGTTGCACTTTGTCTAGAATGGGCCTTATACATGGTACATGTAGGAATCAAACATAAATATCAAGGCTATGCTGACTGAGTGCACTTAATGGGTAGAGATATGAGTGGTTGGACACACAACCTGATACAGGCATACAAGGAATGTACAAATATTTACAAATGAACTTCACTCAAGTTCTGAATGTTTGTATAAATACATGTGCTAAGACTGCATCAGAATCAGCTGTCTAGAGCTAGGTCTAGGTCCGCGCCCATAGAAAATACACAGGGACACGCGGACAATTGACGTAGCCGTAGCTCTGGAAGCCCTTTTCAGCCGGGACACAGCCTTTGATTCCCCTCCCATAACCAAAAGTTCAAGTACCAAGACCACGCAGTCTAATTTCTATGTGTACTTCTTCTTTACACTATAAATCCATCATACCCAGTAGACAAGAACATGACTTCACTAAAACACTGTCCTAAATAACATTATACCATTCACAGAAGATTCATGTGTTTTGTTTAGTTTCAGCGACACTTCCAAATGAATGACAAATTTCTTTGAAACTAGGCACTGTGATTTGATTTGAAAAAAAAAAAATGTCTATTTGGTGCTCCAATTGTAGGTTGTAGAAGATGTACAGTAGGTACCTGGATTCTGATTGGCTGATTTCCTCTTACTAACATTGACGAGCCTCAGTCTCACGTGGTGTTGTGGTGCATCTGTGAAAGTGATTCTGTCTCGCAATTTTTTGTGGAGGTAGCTGAACTGTGGTTGGCCGATAGTTGCAACTATTCATGGCCAGTCTGTTGTTAACCAATCAGAGTGTTCCTATAGTTTTTGCCCGTTGGTGAATAATTGCAGTTTCCTTGGAAGTACCTGAACTATGACTGGTTGACAGTTACATCCACGCATGGTCATGTACTTTGTGATCCACCAATCAGAATGTCCCTATCTTGCAAGTCAGTGAAGAACTGCAGTTTCCTTGGAACAAGCAGAACCTTGATTGGCTAAAAGTGGCATCCACGCATGTTCATGTCTTTTGTGTTCCACCAATCAGAGTGTCTCTATCTTGCCTGTCCGTGAAGAACTGCAATTTCCTTGGAAGTATCTGAACTGTGATTGGTTGAGCCTCTAGCCTCTCATTGTCAACGCTGTACCACGCCTCTTCACCCTAGAATAATGTTGGAAATAGATAAAAAAAAAAACCTGTTTGAACATGTTGACTACAAATCATTAAAAAATAATTATTATCAGAATATCTTTGTGAACACGAACATGGTGAACTTGAAGACAGAAAACATGCAGCCACCTTGAATGCCTATCTGCACAAATTGACATCTTCTCCAATGCAAATGAGACATGGAAAAACCCATTGTAAAATATTTCAAAAGCAGAAATTTGTATGTACGCATGTGTGCACTCATTTCATGTATTTTCGACTTTTAAATACAGGTCATTGTACAAATTTGGGGTCCACTTTTTTCCTGTTTCTGCTATGATCTGACATGTACAATTTTGTAAATTCTGGATGCACTCCTTAATGCCGTGTTCCCCAAGCAAGATTGTGTAGAGCAAACTAACAACCCAACAAATGAGAATAATTTGATCAAATTTTGAATGATACTTGAGTGGCAAATTACAAAGTTCAGCGGTAACAGGGACAGGAAAAATTGCACACTTTGGACCCTTAATTTAATGAATGACCCATATAGATTTTAAATAAAAGCATTTGGTTCCCCGGGGGAAATGGGGGAATTGATTAAACCCTGTGGACATTTCGTGTTAAATTACTGCTTTCAAGAAACTCAGCGAAAAACCGACCTCTTTCAGAGCTGGTGTGATCTTAATTTCCCCGACCTCAGCCGTCTGGGTTTTGTAGTCATCACTTGCAGCATCTTGACTTGGACTTGCCCTTCTCCATCTGAAAAAAAAAAAGATCCAACGGAAGAATGCATTCAAATAGTCTGGCCATTTTTGCAGGATAGTGTGAAGTGGTAAGACTACACAAATAACAGTGTGAAAAAGAAAGGGTTTACAACCTTTTTCACTGTTTTTTGGCATTGTAGAACAAATTTTGTTTTTTAATTTGATGTAAAGCAACATAAAATGGTTCCACGTACATGGTGCTTAAATTTACTGTTCAGAAATCAAAAAAGGCCTATGCCCAGCTCCAAACGATCTTTCAAGGCTTCGTCACTGTGTGAATGCTCACTACCTGCCCTCAATCTCAAACTTAGTCTATGGAATATCCCCTTGCATAGCAAGGGTCTGTTACATGCGAGCAGATTCGGCAATTAATCATGCAAAACAAGACTGTGTCTTGACCTCGAGATTCTGACCATTCAGTGGGGGCCTTCTACATGTACACTGGGTCTTCACTAACCCGCTGTTGTATTATTGACCAATCAACAGCTTAGTCTACATTTCTGATCGACATGCCGTCATGCTTCTAAAGTCGACTCCGATTGGAATTGTGTGTGCGGGATGGCATACAATTCACATGTTAGGGTACATCAGACATTCAACCGTGTCTCTACCTATGTGAATGTCTGATCCCAAGTTTTTGCTCAAGCTGAGCTTGAAGATAAAAACTACATGGACTGAGTGACTTAAAACTCAGAAACACGTGAGAGTCGACTACCCAGCAACACTCGGGGACAGGGACATGGGATCTGGAGTGAAGTACGCCATCCATTCATGGAAACCTACCCTTCTCTGACAAACCCCGTCCTGGATAGCTGGGCTGGCCCTGTCTGTACCCTCAGAGCTCTAGGAGACTGCAAACAGAAAAAAAAACAGGCTAAAAATTACATCCAAATTCAATGTTTGTGGTACTTTTTGATCAAATAATTCTCTAATTCACTAAATAGTACACTAATAGCAATATTTTTACTGAATGAAGAAAAAAAATTGAAATTGAATTTGCTCTCTTGAAGTATCTAAGTCTAAGTGTGAATTAATTTGTAACTTGCAAATACACGTATTCACAGGTTTGAATTTAAAACTGCTCCATTCATTTAATCCATTATATGTTTGTTCTTGTACAACCCAACACTACGTAATGGTTGTTTCAACCCTCATTCATAAATACCTCAGACAGTTTAGCCATTCCTATTGGTCGAGAGCCCGTCACGTGGCCGGTATTAAACGGATGATAAAGACATGGCTAGCTGGTCTTAAACACTTTTCCAGTGTCACAATAAAATGTGGACTCCTAAAAATCCAGTGCCTCTTATCGTTTCATAGGTTGAACGTTCACAATCCTCACGTAGGCATGCGCAACACTACCAGGGAGTTAGAATTTTATAGTTCTAAATTCAAAACGCAACGCGCCAGGTGCGTTCTGCGCGACATCGCATAGAACATGATACGCGCGCGTCAATCTCCATAAAAGGGTTGTTTTCATCTTACTCGCCAGCTGAACACTCCATTATTTTGCAGGAGGGATGATTCAAAAAGCATAAAGTGAATTTGTTGAACAAAATTGGGATGTTTTGAACGAATTATATGATTTTTTTAACCGAAAAGGTATTTATGAATGGGAATAAATATGTACTCCGTCGGTATTTATCACTCTGTTTAATACCACTTAGAGTCTGGGTGCTGATAATTACCCTCGCCTCCGGCTCGGGTAATTATCAGCACCCAGACTCTAAGCGGTATTAAACGAGTGATAAAAACCTCCGGAGCACACATTTATTCCCTTAACAAAATCTCGATACTGAAGTGCAACAACTTCAAAATGGTTCAATGATTAAACTGGTACCATACAAACCATTTTGACTTCATCCGTGTTGCCCGTAGCAACCACCAGCTCCGTGGTTACCAGGTCATCCTCTGTCCATTCGATCTCCTCCTCTGGTTCAGTTGTCTCATCATCAGCGTTGGCTCCTAATTCTGTAAGATAATCACACCGCTGACAGTCAGAGTTGCAATTGAGTCAATCGCAGGACACAAGCCAATTACATGCCAATCACAAGTCAATGAAAAGCCGACCACAAGCCAATTTAAGAAGAGTCAGGTTGGCGCAGTGGTTGCTGTCCTCGCCTTCCACCGCTGTGCCCCGGGTTCATGTCTTGCCCTGGTCCACATGTGGATTAGGTTTTTAGTCCCTACCTGATTCCGTGGGCTTTCTCCAGAATATTCTTCTGGGGTTTTCCTCCCACCTCTGAAACTGTAATTTCTTCTCATTGTCTTCTGTCTACTGATTCGACGAATTATCAATCACGCGCACATATGCGTCGTGTCAATGCTTGCGGGCGCTTCGCCCCCACAAAACCGAACTACTAATGGAAATTTCCAACGAAATACAATGTGCTGTACGGTATGGGTTGCATGCAGTGCCCGGCGGCCATATCAATAGAGCCAAAAAAACTGGCTTGTACGGGTTCATGTAGATTAACTTTCCAGTCATATCGAGAACAGTGGGAGATGGGCAGATCGTGGTACTGTATGCAACGAATGTATACTGTATGCGCTGAACGTAGTGGTGGCCATATTGGGAGGGTCAAAAAGTGACTTGCAGTGGCTTCACATCTCTAGTGCGCAGGCAATGGCTGCCTGCACTAAATAGTCATATGGGTATCAGTGGTAGAGAGGCAACTCTTTGTGCCCTCAATGGTTACTGCGTTTACCCATTACCTTTGCTCTCCTCCTTTGGGCTACTCCTCCAGATCATCAGTCGCTGTAGCCACGCCCACCAGTTGATCCCCACATGACTAGTCTCAGCCTCAGGCTCTGGCTCTTCAAATGGCGGCCTGTGCTTGATGTTGGCTTTCAACACTGGTGGCCAAACCTAAAAGGTAAAAAAAAATTGTTGGAAAAATACCAAGAAAACACCACTGAGATTTGGTAGGTTGGTACTACTTCGGACACCAAACTCCTAATCAAATCAAAGCAAGTTATTTTCAACTTGTAACCAGGGTTTCGTTCAACAAAAGTTTTGCTCTGAGCGTCCACAAATGTCTTTCATTATTTTTGTCTCCAATTTCCTTGACGCACATTCATGATTACAAAACAAATTATGCAAACTAGGTTCGTTGAAAATAAAAACTACTTCCGACACATTCTCCTGCTACTTAAAACCTGATTACGTTTTTGTTTGAGGTAATAACACATACTTACACTTTTTAAAGTTGCAAAAACATACGTCAGTTTCCACTTCAGGGGGCCAAAGTACCAATATCTGGATTTAAGAAAGGAAAATATAAGACATTCTCTTTAGTATATTCAGTGTAAAGGTTCCTGAATTTTGACCGAAAAGGAATTTATGAATGGGAACAAATAATGTGCTTGGCTGGTATTAAACACTATGTTTAAGACTGGTTGGAGTCTGGATGCTGATAATTACCCTCGCCATCCAGACTCCAACCGGTCTTAGACATTGTGTTTAAAACTGGCCAAGCACACATTTATTCCCTTTTTTTGCAATTAAGGACCTATCAATGTAGAGCCGACAAATTGACAGTTGACATGTTGGGCTGGCGGGTGATAAGTTTAATTGGCAATATGGGGACTACCGTAGTTATAAAAGACTGAGGGCGATCAAGCTGCATGAACAAACATGCCATTCACGGATTAAATTTTGGTGCACAGACACAAGAAGCCAATCCTCCCAGGCAATAGTATCGATCACCAACTTGTTAACTCCCCACAAAAGTTTGACATCTCTCTTGGGCAGCTACATGTAGCGCAGTGTGGCCACACATTTATGATTAATCGAGTTAAGCATTTTTTAAACCCACATGGGCTTTAAGTTTTCATTTAGTTCAATGCTGGCCATCAGCCCAAATCAAAGAGCTGGTCATAAGAAGCCAATTACATGAAGGGGACACATCTCCATCAATACATGTAAACAAGTCCTGGCAAGCCTATAGTAAAACTGGTCCCGGACTAATTTGGTCTGAGGTGTCTACGTAGTTATCCGAGTCGATTTTTTGGGAGACTTAAGAAAGTCTAATTTACAAGCATCAGTGAGTCAGTCAGTCAGTGAGATAGGTGCAAAGAGGACCGTAAGCTGGCCCTTGTGGGTCCAGCAGAAAGGCTTGTCTATGGACCATTTCACTAGTATGCCATGACTGTCGGTTCCCGACATCCATCCAGGTTTTTCCTCATATTGCACTGTGCTCAAGTCAACACTTCAAAGTCAACGCATATATTTCAAATGACAGTGAAGGGTAGTGTGGTTGCGTCTAATGACCACATCATGCAAAAGGGTAAACAAACATGGTATAAACCCATTACTTTTAATCCATGCTTCATTAAAGGTGGACGTCAACTTGGCTTGAATCTGACTCTTTTCGCCATTAGCCGACGGTTTAGGACCCAATCAGAAACCTTGGCAGCAGAAGAATAGATGCAAATATAATTACAGGCAAGGAGCCACTCCTCGTTTTCTTCGTCACAAAATCAACGTGTGCGGATGATGCAGGCACTGCTAATGCAGAACTTGAGATTTTCACCACTGTTGAAGAGTGGTCGTCGATTCTCAAAATTAAACAAATTTTATCTTGAATTCTGTATCATGTCCGATGAGACATTTTTATGTCACCAATTTTTTTGCTGATGCACTTGTTTTGCTCTCTCATCACAATCTGTCCGTTTTTCTAAAAAAAAAGTCCTTAACCTCAAATTTTAGACTTTAAACAAGTTGCAGTTCTGCTTGGAGACAACTTCCGAGTCATTGTGCTTTTCTTGTCGTAGTCAGTATCCAGGATGACTGCAGTAACGTCAATGCAAACGACGATGGACTTGGGTTTCTACAATGCCTCTCCATTCAACATTTCCGCGACGCCGGAAACTGAGACCAGCGATTACCTTACTTACACGTACATGTATGTTATAATACTCATCTTTGTCATCACAGAAACCGCTCTACTCCTAACACTGAACCCACTTTGTCTCCTGGCTCTGAGTCATGTCCATGACACGGTCCAAGACACCACTAAAGTGTTGCTCCGCTCCATGACGGCTGCCGATTTGGGGGTGGGGATTTTCGGGGCCATCCCAATGATACCTTCGGTAATTTATGGGGACTGGCCGTTTGGGGATGCACTGTGTGGGATGCAGTCCTTTCTGTTCCCCTCCTGCATACTAGGATCCCTTCTTTCGCTGCTCTTGCTATCTGTAGACAGGTACATTTCTGTGGTGTACGCACTCCGTTATCATTCCTTAGTAACAGTGAAACGAGCCCGAATCATGGCCTGTGCTGCATGGGCAGTTGTCTTGTGCATAGTGACAGGGTATGGTTTTCTCAGCAGTTGGCAAGGCGTGTACAGTCATCAGTCACTGGCGTGCAATTTTTACTCTGTTGGTGTGGGTTCCAACTACATCCTCTACTTGCAAGTTATCTACGCGATTATTTTACTGAGCTGTATGCTGACAATTGCAGTCGTGTACACCAGACTTTTCCTGATTTCGCGCCAGCACGCACGCCGCATTCACGTCGCCAACCAGCCTGCTGGACTGGGTAACCGACTCGCGAGGTCTGCTACCAAGACTCTACACACCATGCTGCTCATTGCATTGAGTGCACTTGTGTTCAATCTTCTGCCCATCATATACGTCATGCTTGCATTTCGTAACGGTAACATGGCAACCCTCTTTCTGTTAGTGCTACCCGTACTGACAAACAGTTGGGTAAACGTCGTCATCTATTACCTCAGGAATGGGGAAATTCGCCGAGCGACATTCAATCTTCTGGTATCATGCTTAAAATGTTGCAAGCGGTGCACACATTTCAATCCAAATTAACAAAGTCAAATGACAGATTTGAAAACAAAACTCCATCTTTTTCTCCTCAGAAGCAAATTAAATAATTTGCTGTGAGAACATGTGATGGTGAATCGCTTGTGAGAGTTTGTGTGGTTCGAAGCTGTGGAAAACCAACATTTCAGACATAGTATGCTCTGCCTGACATCAGGAGACAGATTATCCGAGCAGAAAACAACAATTTAAACCACTTACACTTCACACCACTAACTGGATTTCAGAATTTCTCACTGCAATTTGTACAAGAAAAACACCTTCTTCAGTTCATTAAGTAATGCAACAATTCTCTGCAGGATTTATTAAATCATTGTGTACAAATGTAATCCCAATTTGTGTACTGTCTTTTTCAACCATCAAACATTGACAATGATTGGTAGCCACTGCACATCATCAATAAAAGTGACAAAGGATGGCCGTTTACTGCAACATTTGCCACGGTCACCTCCCTAAGTTAGCCATTTTACCTCCTGCATTACAGGTAGGTAAATCATCATCTTATTTTCAGTGTATTTTAATTTAGAGGACAGTCCCTCAAATTTCTCTCCATTTTGTGAAAAGTGGCTTGGTACTTTTAGCTTTAGCTCTTTGTGATCATAAGATCACTTCATTTCTCTTGAAAGAATACCATGTAAATGTTTTAGAAGTTTGACTAAATTACTAATGGCACTAAGCATGTGGTCTTGATATACTGTTTGGGAACAATCTTTGTCATGTTTGTTGAGTGTGACTGACCACAGAAAGTAATATACATTTACTTTTAGAATACATTGTATTTTGAAGTTCTATCTTTCTGATGTTAAACCTGTAGTGGTTCTACTTCTGTGGGTCATTCTATAAATTTGGGGTCCACATTTTGTTCCTGTCCCTGTTACATCTGACACGGATGATTTTGTAATTCTGGATGCACTCCTTAATGCTTTCTTTCTTAGAGAATGATTACCTAAAGCAAACTGCCCATCCAACAAATAAAAATATAGTTTGAAGTCATTTTTAATGATACTTGAATTGCAAATTACAAAGTTCAGAGATAACAGGGACAGGACAAATGTCACACTTTGGACCCTTAATTTACAGAATGACACTTACATGTACACCACTATTTGGTCAATAATCAGTCATGAAAACAAATTAAGGAAAATTCTCCATCAGCATCTAAAAGTCTAGTCTTTGGACCATATCACAGGAAATGTCGTGACTGTCGGTTGCCGACATGCATATACATGTATCCGCCCTCGTTTTTCCTCATATTGCACTGCGCTATAAAGTCAACAATTATATGAATGCATATTACTTCAAGTAGTGCGCTCGCATCTCTCTAAATGAAAGTTAGCATCAAGTGACAACAGCATGTCACTGGGCAAACAAATTTGACATGGTACTGGTATACCCTTTACTTTTTAATCTACACTTAATATTAACAGACATTAATTTTGGCTTGAATCAGACTCTTGTCACTAAGTAAGTCATCAATATAAAGTCCATATGATCCAAGTAGAGACCTTGGCAATACAATTACTGATTAATCCTCAAACTAGGCAGTAATAACACACACAGGATGGGAACGAAGCATCACCCTTGTTTTTGGGTCAACAAATCACACTGTGTAGTATGATGTATGCACTGCTAATGCAGAACTCCAGTTGTTCATCACTGCGGTTGAAGAGAGGTCGTCAATTCTCGAAGTGAACCAAATTAGTTGTTTCTAGTTTACTTATATTCTTCTCTCAGCACACTCTGTCAGTTCATTTGTGAAAAAATCCTTTCCTTGAAATTCAGACTTCAAATAATTTGCAGTTCTGCTTGGAGACAACTTCCGAGTCATCGTGTTTTTCTTAGTATCGTCTGTTTCCAGGATGACTGCAGTAACTTCAATGCAAACGACGATGGACTTGGGTTCTTACAATGCCTCTCCATTCAATGTATCCATGGAGCCAGAAACAGGGACCAGCGATTACCAAACTAATGTTATGAGCCTCATCTTTGTCATCACAGAAACTGCTCTACTCCTAACACTGAACCCACTTTGTCTCCTGGCTCTGAGTCATGTCCATGACACAATCCAAGACACCACTAAAGTGTTTCTCCGCTCCATGACGGCCGCCGATTTGGGGCTGGGGATATTTTGGGCCATCCCAATGACACCATCAGTAATTTATGGAGACTGGCAGTTTGGGGATGCACTGTGTGGGATGCAGTCCTTTCTGTTCACCTCCTGTATTCTAGGATCCCTTCTTTCGCTGCTCTTGCTATCTGTAGACAGGTACATTTCCGTGGTGTACGCACTCCGTTATCATTCCTTATTGACAATGAAGCGAGCCCGAATCACAGCCTGTGCTGCATGGGCTCTTGTCTTGTGCATAGTGACAGGGTATGGTCTTCTCAGCAGTTGGAGATGCAAGTACGTTAACCGTTCACTTGGGTGCATTTTTGACTCC